CTGCCCAGGCTTGAGTCCTCGGTGCCACTTTGGGAGAGATGGGTCTGGGCAGGAGCACCGGGGTGGCCAAAGGGATTGCTGCCATGGCCAGTGCTGCCACGGTCACCCCAGCTCTGGAAAGGGAGCCTGAAGACAAATGGAAAATTCCAAGTTGGACACAATGATTACACACAGCTCAGCCTCAGGGAAGAAATAACATTGCAAACTCTTATTTAAGACCTCCTTTTCTCATCCCCACCCCCCCTCCCCCATCAAGTGCCTATTTAAAATAAATAAAGAAAGAAACAAAGCATAACTATCGCCAATATGAAGTAGCATTCGGACTTCTGAGTCACAGAGCACCTGTGTCACACAGCCAAGATAAGGCAAGGACACCATAGGCATGCTGGGGGGAAATTGCCAGCCCTGGCCTCACTGCACTGAGGACCATATCAACAATGCCCCCACCCTCCTCCTTAAAGGCTGCTGGTACTATGGGGGTCCATTCCTGGCCTCAGACAGGCTACAGAGCATGGGGACAAGCAGCTCTGAGTGAGCCAGTTTGGTCCTGGGGTTCACCCTGAGGCTTAGGAGCTGCTGCAGAGCTATCAAAACACCAGGGATACAAAAAACAAGAACAGCCTCACTGTGATCTGTCCATGTGTGCACACATATACAATGTAAATAATTATTCTATTATAATGTATAAAAGGATTATTGCAAATTATTATTTATAGGTGATAATACATGCATTATATGCAATATGTATATGTGTATAAAGTATTACAAGAATAATTAAACAGCATTCATGATTATACTTATGTACTGTATGTTGAGTGATGATATTTGTATATGATTATAACAATGATAATTTGGTTTATGTATGTCTACATATGTGTGTGTGTACAGCATCATATTTATTACACAAACACACACATACCCCTTCCTGCAGTGTTGAGCGCTGCAACAGTCCAACGTGGCTCAGCAGCTAACGGCAAGCCGGCCCCTTCCTCCGAGTGCCACCACCACCTCCGCACGCTCCAGCCTTCGGGGTGTGGTGGGCACTTTGCCTGTGCTGTGGGCATTTCATGCTAGGGAGCTGCTGGCATCATCCCTGTGGTCCATGTGAAGCTGTTGAGTTTCTCCTTCCAGCAGAATGCAACTGAGCTTCAGCGATAGGGCTATTTTCTTCCAGAGCTTGCTGTGTACCACAGATTGGGTTGTTTATCAGCTGGAGGATTCAATAGGCTTCCACTGAAGGGAAAAAAAATAAATGTGTTTTCAAGTATGTCTTGGAAGTGGTGTGGCACTTGAAGGACAGACTTGCTTGTGTTTGGTGGCTGGCACTTCACTTGTCCCTGGTAAAGATGCTGCACCTCACACAAAGTAGAGTTTCTGGAAAAATACTGTATTAGGACAGAGGCAGTGAGTGGAGGCTGAGGCAGAGGAAAGAAAATAAATGCTCTGATTATCCCTGAAAACAAACTCCTGCTCCCATCTCTCCCTATGGCTTGTGACGGCCCCTTCTTTGCTTGCAGGGAGGAACCCTTGTGCAATCAGGAATGAGGGAGTCCCCACCCATTCGTCCCCGCTGTGCCTGGGATCTCCCCAAGATCCCAGCAGCCACACCAGCACCCAACATGCCAGCCTTGCAGTGCAGGCACCCATCCCCTCCCGAACTCCTACGCCCTTCCTCCCCCTCCCATCCGACAGCACTGACATGAGCCTAAGATTTAGCTTTTTCGGGGACTAGTGGCTGATCTCGGGACCAAGTTCAAGCCTCGCTGCTACTATAGCGTGAAGGGGGAAAAAAAGCAGATTAAGAAAAATAAATTTTACATTTTTTCACTGACTCTTACTACAACCTGGATCTGATGGCTGCACAAGGCTTGGAGAATGCAGCCTAAAGCAGGTTGGGTTTTTTTTAATTTATTTCTGCTTTATTTAAAAATAGACAGTTTCGCTCTTCTGCTGACACTCTACATTTGCTTTATTTTCCCTTAGAGATAAAAACAAAGCGAGTCTTTGACTGGGATCTTGTAGCATTTGCTAGGTTTCTCAGTCCAGCTCAAGCACAGAGCCTAAATGGGCAGGTCAGCAGCCAAGGACTAAAGAGCAGCAAGAAACGAGCTCTCTTCTCCCACCTCCTCCTTTTTAAGGAAGTTGCTTATTTCAGAGCTGTGAGGAATAAATACAAATAAAACTCACTATCAGCTCAAATGGAGGTGCTGGTGACTGTGACCTGGTGGCTACAAGCACAGTAATGACTCAGGCACAGCAGCAGAGAAGCCAGGCCCACCACTGACAGGGACGTTCCTGCTGGGTTACATTAAAATCAGAAATCACTATGAAATGTCCACATGGTGTCTGGGCTCTGCTACCCACACAGGTTTGCTCTGAAGCTGTGTGAATTTAGTGAAAGAAAAGGGAGGAAAGCATTCCTCTCCCCAAATCTCCTCCCCAACAAAATAATTCCAACACAAAACCATGGGGAGCATAAAGCCAGGTAAGGCCTGCTGCAATGCACTGAACGCTCTTGAAAGCTGAGGATCCTGCAGGCATTCAAACAACAAATCTCTGCTTTTAAGGGGAGGGAAGATGGGCAAAGCCTGGACAACTCTGTGGCTCCAGCGGCTGCGCTGAGTCTCCCCAAGGAGCTGGTGCCAGGGGCAGGGCACAGCACTGCCCCCTCACTGAGGGGCTGGGGCTGCTTTCTTGGGGGAGCAGGGTCAGACCGAGTTACAGGCACCCTGACCTAAGCCATGCTCCAGGGTTACATATAACTTTTGTTAGCAAAGGCCCTTTCTCATTTGCACAGGGAGAAAAAGAAGAGAAAGAGTAAACAGGCTGAACAACCAAATAACTAGCCTTTCACTGCCCTTAAAAAAGGAGGAAAAAAAATCCCCTTTTATTGAAACCATTTCCTTTGGTTATATCATTTCTTTTGAGGCTGGAAGCAATTTTCAGTCTTAAGTGTGTTCCCTGCACTAAGTGCACAGGCACGAGGCTGATGCTTGGCTGCCCACCAAGGGGTACCCTGGAGATAAGCACGTCTTCCTGTGCCTTTTGTAACCTCCCCACACCAGCTCATTGCCCCAACGCCTCCTGCAAGGAGGGAACCCCCAAGCCCAGCACAGACAAGGTGCAGCATAGGTCACCCCGGCCCAGCTGGGTCCCACAAGTAGGACACAGATGGCATCCATTACATGTTCCCTTCCGTGTCCTCTGTCAACACGGACAACCAGAACAAGCCGAACTCTGCCCAGAAATCCCCCGATGACGGGACACACCAGTGCCAGGGCTCTGTTGTAATCATGTGGCAGACAAGCAGCCATGTGTTGGGCACCGGGAATTGATGCTGAAGGAGGGTGACTGGGCTCCCTTGTAGTCTGCACCAGCAATGGGCTTCTGGGGGATTCTGGGAGCAGGGCCAAATCTGTGCTATGAAAAGAAATCATTTCACATATCCGAGACGCTGCAGAAGGCTGGAGTGTTCTCAGCAGCCTGGCCTTACGACCAGTTTTACCTGATTCACGCCAGCAGCAAAATCATCAAGGTCTGGAGAGGACCTCTCCAAGTGAGTGGGGACATGCAGCAAGGAGGAGAAAAGACAGTGTTCAGGCAGGAGCAGTTATTTGCCAGGACTGCTCAAGTTGATGCCAAACTGAAGCTAATAAAATAAAACACTAAGCTCAAGTTATTAAAATACATCTGTACGTATCTCCTAACGCAGCCCCCTCAAAGTGAGACTGGCAATCAGATGCTTGCGTTGCTTTCCCCACCAGCCCCCTCAGCTGCTGCTGCTGCAATTATCACACGTGGGTGCTCGGGGCCGCCGGCAGCCAGCCGAGCAGCGCTGGCAGCACGCAGGCTGCAGCGAGAGATAAAGCAGCGAGGCCCAAGACGGGGAGGAGTGTGTGCCTTGACTGCTGAAATCTCCCCCACCACGAAGCCAGTGTGCGTATACTCTCCAGCTCAGCCAGCATGGTGTAATTTATCCTTCGTAATAAAAAAAAAGGAAGAGGCTTGGAGAGGGAGGGAGAGGCGACAGCTTATTCTTTTTCAGGAAGTGCTTTTCCCCATGCTTGGCAGCCCAAAGCTGAACAGCTTTTGCTGTTTTGGACCTTGTGTTGAATCCACACAGGGGCCTCAACTTTGCAGCAGCTCTGGGTGACTGGAGCAGCACAAGGAGCAAAGAAATACCCGAGGCCAGTAGGCATCCAACATAGCTCAAATTTTAGCGTTAAAAAAATGGCAGATTCTTGAACAAGGCATCTGTGTGCCAGCAGGCTGGGGGATTAACTTCCCCCTTTCCCTCTTCCAACATATACAAAGGTAGATTATTATTAAAGTTGAGGCCTAGTGGCACATTGCAAAGGTTTGATCCGTGTCCTCAGCTCCTGACTCTTGGGCATCTTATGATCTGGAGGAACCTACCACTTCTTCAATTTCAGTGAGAACTGGCTGCTTTCAGCCACACAAGTCTCCCTGATGTGTTCCTGGTAGCACAAGATACTCAGCCCAGAGTGAGGATCTAAGGAGTCATTTCATGTCAAATCCTCATCCAGCCCAACGCAGTCCTTATGCACACATGCAGGTTCTAGACTTGTTGCAGAGCAACTGTTAATAAGTGAATGGCGACAGTGGGAGAGGGACTGGCCTTTAATTCTAACAAGTGGGCTGAAAAAGGCTGCTCTTGGTTGGGAAGCACTGATTTTCCTGAAGTTCTATTAAAACTGTGTTGTTGAACCCCAAATGGAACAGAAAGAAGCAAGAGGTCCTACCTGACCAGGCTGAGCTATGGCCAGAAAAAACAATCCCCAAATCCACAGGATTACCTTTTTTTTACCCACTTTATTTTAGTGTTTGGGCAGCAGAGACGGGGCATCAAGGGAGTCAAGGGAGGCCCAGTCCAGCTGGGTGACGCAGCGCTCATTGCCAAGTACCCTGTTGTCCCAGAGGAAAGCACCACGTTGCACGAAGTGATGCAGAGCTGCATATGGTCTCTCAGCTTCCCAGATTCAGTCTGTACCGTGGATGAGCCAAACCAGGTGGAAACAGATGGCCAGGAATCCAGTGCCCAGGAGATCCCCCAGGGCGGTGAGGTAGGGGATGGAGCAATTATCTGGATCCAGCTCCTTCCTCCACAGCAGGCGCACAATTAGGTCAGCCATGTAGAGCAGGATTCCCACCTGAGGAGAGGCAAGAGAGGCCCTGCTGTGAGGAAGCAAGAAGGTAATGCACAGCCTCCCTCAGCTCACAGCCAAAACCACACGGCCATAGCCAGGGTGCCAAAGCTACTGGGGATCGCCAGGAGGTAAGACCTTCCCCAGAAAACTGCTGCTTCTCTGCAGGATGGAGCTGCACTGGGATGGGTGTAGCTGGCTCAAACCCTTGGGCAGTGCCTGGCATCACCCATGGTGCCACAGCCCCTTGCTGTAGGCTGCAAGCATGGGGACCAGGCTTTAACTGCTCACCAGCACCACGTGGCCCAAAACGACAGCCTGGCCACACCAAAAGCATCTCCCAAAGGTACAGTTACCACTTCACACATCCTGAATGGGAGTGCTCCCATTCACTCCAATAGAAACAGGCCCACTGCCAATATGCAGGAAGCTCTAAAGGATAAGTTTGTAGCCAGATTTCTTCTCCTCATCCTTCTTTATTTTCCATCAGAAATTCAGATCACGTCTACTTTGTTTTTTCTAGGAGTCTCAGTGGACAACTGGAGTTCGAGGCAGTTTTTGCATCAAAGTTATACCAAGCAGCACTGACATGTTTAAAAAAAGAAAATAATTTCTTTTTTTTTTCATCTCAACAGTTTTAAAATCTTTGTTGTGATTTCTTTTAATTCCTATTTCATTCCTGATTCTGATAAACAGATGGAGGAAAAAAAATACTTCGGTTAAAGATTAAAGACTGTTTAGTTAATTGAATTAAGAAGTGAGAGAGAGTTTGCACCCCACATCTGTAGTCCCTCCATGGGAGACTGTAGCACAACAGGAACCAAAGCCAGAAATGGCATTTCTAAAGGTGAAAACAGCAACCTGGGTGGGAAGAGAGGGAGAAGGAGAGATGGGAAGCAAATTCATAACAGAATCACAGAAACTAAAGCTGGATGGTAACTCAAGAGTTTCATATAAACCATTCCTCTGCCTCAATACAAGATCAAATATGCCCACATCTTTCCTGAAGGTCGTTTGTTTAACCTATGCTAAACAACCCTCAAAGACGGAGATGTCAACTCTAAGCATTCTCATAGCATTTTTCCTGTTTGTTCTTGTTCTTCCCAAGGTCTAACATAAATCTGTCTTTTTGCATTTGAAACTCATCATTTTATGTTTCATCCCTAGTGACCACAGAGAAAATGTTATTCTGTCCCTTCTTACAGAAACTTGATAGTTTAAAGGCTATCAATCAGATTTTTCTCAAGCCTCTCTTCTTTGGACCTCAATCGTTCCTCTGAGGTCATGTTTCTAGGCCCCTGATCTTTCTCTCTGGTTCTCCTCCAGCTGACTCAAACCTCCCCCTCTCTTTCTTTCTGTGTTTCTTTATGAAGTATAATGGAAAGGAAGAAAGAACCAGGCTGAGTATATTCCCCTCTGCTGGCCTCCATGGGAATCTTTCAGGGCCAGTAGCATTGCTGGGATTCTGCTCTTTAGGCTGTCATTTATCCTGCATATTTACCTTCTTGGCTCTGGTTGAGGAGTTACCCCAATGCATAAAGAGAAGAATAAATAGTTTCCTTTACAACTGTGGCTGTGCCACCGGGCACAGGTTGTGCAAAGGTCAAGAAAAACTGATTGTTTACACACACAAGGAATTCACCCACAGACACGAGGTTGCTTGTAAGGCGAAGCGAGAAGTCAGCTACCTCACCCTGCAAATTAATGAATTGCTGAGTTAAAAGGGCAAGTGAAGTCAGAGCCTCTGTGAGTTCAAGCAACAGCCACATGCATTTCTGAGTGAGGCAACAAAGTCTACACGGCAGGCAAAACAGCGCAAGGGAAGAGGCAAAACAAATTGGATGAACTCCCATTGTCTACTCAGAACTTCTACTTTTGAAGACAAACTTCTCAGGCCTAGGTCTTCCCTTTGCTTTTAACCCATGTGGCCTTGCCCAGAGGGATCCCAGTGGGGAAACCTGCTGGCTGGGGTTCATAGCCTCTCACTTGCCCCTTACTGAGATGACCAGTGGCAGTCTAGAAATTCTTGGGTCTTAAAGACTCAAGGAGTGAACATGGCAAAACAAGGTATCACCTACAGCGAGAGGTATTTCCTTCACAAATGTGTCTCTGCACACTTCCAGCAGCTCAGTAGATGATGATAATTTGTTCCTAATCTCATGTCTGATCCCTCACTCATGCTTAAGGGCAGTCATGCTCATGTGGGAAACCAGACCCTGGCAATTTGGGTGAAGTATTACTGGACCCACAGAAGATAGGTGTTGCCTGGTTGGAAGCACACCTGAAATGACTGGAAATGTGGGCCGCTGCTGGAAGTTTTACTATGACTCCTGTTTATTAACAAAGACTGCTTTGTTTCCACGGTATCTGAGAGGTTCCTCTTGGATAAGAATTTGGGGTTTACCTGTAGCAAAGCAGCAACCAGATAGAACATCACAAAGGTGACGGACAGAGATGTGTGGCCTCCCCGCAGCAGACGGATGATGTAGAGGAACATGAGATGCCCTGGGATAACCAGGTAGAACAGGACTCGGGCTGACTTGGCATGCACTTCTGCAAGGACAGAGACAGAAACAGCAATGACAGCAGCTGCAGACGGTGTGGGGAGGACATTTTAATGCATAGACTTGGGGCTGTCCCCTCCCACCAACCACATTGCTAACACCTTTCGTAGATCGTGCAGCAATCTGGAGTATCTGCAGTATCAGCCCAGCAGCTTTGTCTAGCACTAGAATTATGTGCCAGAGAAGCGCACCATGCTGATCCACTCCACTTCTTCCAAACACTCCTCTCAGCTGCTCTCTTGCCTCCCACTGCTTCTCCTCTGCCGTGCTGCAACCCACTTTCCCAGTTTTCAATTTATTTTAGTGGGAACTCCCAAACTAGCAAGGGAAAATCAAGAGGAAAGTGCAATCTAAAAAGAAAACAGGTCTAAATCCAGTTTTGCTGGTGCTTTGGGTTATCCACTGCTGAAGATGGAGGAATTGCTGATTTTCAGCAAGGTTATGCTCTGTTCACCCCTCTGTCCACAAGTGATGGCTCTAGGATGGCCATAGTTAAAAAGACTTTCTATTAGATCAAAACTATGATTCCTTTTCAATTACTTTTTTTAGTGCTCCCTGAAGTCAAGTTTCTTTGCACACTAGTAAGCAAGTATACCACGAGATTTTTTTCAAGCTGCCCACTGCAAAGATGCTTCCTCTCTGATCTGAGTATCTTCCCTGTAAGGGGAAAATGGAGTTCTGCCTTTGAAACCCACCTAGTCCTTCACCAACCAGGCTTGATAAAGGAGCTATCTGTGATGAGAGGCCTTGAGACATGGACACCTAGGGTGCAAGGTCTACCTGATGAGAATACGGTGCATGGGTCAGGCCAATTCTGCCTCATCTCCTTTGGCAAAACTCCAGGCGTGCCGAAAAAGTGCAGGAATGTGGAAATACGGCTGGCCTGGATGGCAGCCAGGTTCCCTCCAACACCTATGAGGATAAAACACAGTAAACCTGTAAATCACCTCCACTGCAGCAGCAAACATCAGTCTAAAACATAGGCCACGGTGAGCTGTTCTGCATTCCCTTACAAGCTCACTGAGAGCAGAAGTGAGAGAAAGAGAAATCCTGATCTCACATGTCATGGTGATGCTGCTCTCTATTCACTCAGCAGAAACGGCTCTTAAAAATCAGGAAGGTTACAGCGATCATCTCTGAATACTCTATTGGAAACATTTTCTCCTGCTTCCCAGCACCAGCTGTAAATGCCACATGGCCTCCAAAGATGATATAACTGCACCTGGTTTGATGCAGTCTGTGAGCAACACCTGGAGAAAGCAGCACAGGCAATGGCAGATGCTGCTCATGGCCACTTCTTGGATTTACCCAGCCAGAGCATCATTACTGTTTAAAAGACAACAGACATCACAGAGAGTGAGTCTATGTCCGTCTGAAGACAACACACTTGTTAAAAGAGGAGGAATCATACTAGAAGGAATCAGAGCCCAAATATGTTAGGCAATTAAAAGGAAATTAATTCCTTCCAGACAGTTTAATTCTAACAAAAGCAGCTATGTGTTCCAGCAGAAAACAGAGGGATGATGATCTCTGGAGCAAATCTCCACCATCCTGAGTATTTGCAGGGTAGAAACGCCACAGAAAACAGTGAGCTAGGCCCTACAGGCTTCTCACAGTTTCCCTTCCTCGAAGAAGGAAATGTTTCATCACTAAATGTGAGATTTGCCAAAGCACAATCAATGGGAAAATCCTAAGACTAGCTCAACATAGCTTAAGATAGGAGCTTTCTGAATTGTGCACTGCCACACTTTGTAGGACTGTGTTACCCTGTACACGCAAAGCAAGGAGCTACCTGTGCAAACACACAGAGCACTGCGTAACTCTGCCACCAGCTCTGCCAAACAGGTCAACTGCCCCTACAGACTGAAGTCTGGGTCAACCATTGTTCAACTGAATTGCTCATGACGTGCTTTCCTAATCAGGCTCTTCGTCTAACCATGCTGGAAAGAGTTTGCCAGCAAGGTGGCTGTCTTTATGTAGATCCACTAAGGTGACAGCTGGGTGATGCCCTCTGACACTGCAAGAGTACACCATGCTTTGAGGATGGCACGAGGTCAAGCCTGCCCTAGGAACAGAGGTTTCCCCTTGAATGGGCCTGGCCTGCAAGAACATTACGATAGCAGAAAAATAACCCAGTGAATCCTCAGAGATGCCAGGATTCCCATCAGTTTGTACTGGTATGTGTGTGTATAAAAGTACTGCGAGGCTTCAACAAATTTAACTACATATTCAAAAGATGTTAAGATATATATAACAAATCCCTATATATAAGATCTTTTTATATATACACACATATATAATCAATACATTATTTTATATATACACACGTATATAACCGATACGCTAATCTTTATCAACAATCTGTATAGGGGATGATCGCACAGCTCAAATCACTGAATGGAGAGACAGGGAAATTGATTTATTGTTACATCCTTAGTAGGTTTGATGTTACGAAAGCAAAGGTGTCAACATAGCTCCCAGAGACAGCTATCATGCTGTTAACCTTTCCCACAGCTCTGCAAGTATTTTTCAACTCTGCCTGCTATTTTGCTTCAGAGACACTTTAAGATAAGAGTAAGCAAGGATGTAATGGGGACCAGTAGCTTCACTTCCACGGGAACAGGGACTTGAACACAGACCTCTGTGTAGGGGTAACAGTGGATACCACAACGCTCGGGGAGGAGGAGGTATAAATAAAAGCATGCATATAACTCCCCATCCAACCTACCATTAATCACAGGTGTGAAAACTGCCATGCCTTCAAAGTGTGCGGCAGTTATGGTTTTGTCCAAGATGAGCCCACCAATGCTGTTAAAAAAAGGACATACACTGAGGGTGGATCAAGCTCTTTCCCCAAGGCAATTTCTACACTGTGAGAAGAGCACACCAAGATGAGTTACTGCTTCCTCCCCATTGCAAGGGTTGGACTATTCACCATTTACTACTTTTATAGCTCAGTTTTCATTAATAGATAGCCTTGCAGTTTTTGTTAATGGCATGATGAGATTAGGAAGGCACCCTCTAGCAAAACTGACAGCAGCCAGGAAAGCTTTACCACCCCCCTCAAAACTTTTGCTACAGTTCTATACTGGTTTTAGCAGGTTTTTTTAAGTCTCTCCCACATCTCAGCTGGGTCTGAAAGATGTAGCATGGGGAACGAACGACATGTCTTCTGTCTTTACAGTACACCAGTCTTCTATCTTTACAGCTGGGTAAAAATGAAGTTGAAGCCTGACTATGTGACAGTCATGATCTCCCTTTTTGGTTTCCTGGATTACACCCACATGGTACATGGATGTGCAAGTGAGACTTAAAACAATGTGCTTTTTCTAGTCGTTTGGGAGTTCCTTATCTGGTATCTCACAGCCTGTTGGAAGGCCAGTAATGACCAAGAAGCACTGGACAAACACCCTTCTGCTGCCCCTCCCAGCTTTACTTTCAGTAGCTTTTTAAATGAGCATGAGGTCTCACTGCAACGTGCATGCATGTGCGGGCTCAGAAGTGGTTCCTTGATTTACCTGCTGATGCCCATTGCAGTGATGATCGGCTGCCACCCACATTTCAGGACTTCGGCAAGGGAAGGATTTTGCTTGGCGATAGCAGCCCAGAGAGGGATCGTGAGAATGAAGGCAGTGCATATGAGAGGAGCAAGGTATTTCATATCTGGCAAGGAAAAAAAATAATCTTGAAATAAATGCCCATGGCCTCACACGTTGCCAAAATTATACTGCATGAAGTCAGGAAGAAAGGCAGCTCTCTCTCAGACTGAGTTATGTTAGCAGGAAAATCACATAAACCAAGATACTCCCCAACCAACCACCTAACTCCACCACAGAAATCCATAATTAATCCCTGAAACTCACTGCTAGAGGATATTGTTTGAAAATCAGCAGGATTCAATGCAAGTTATGTTTGAGGATGAGCAAGTCTCCAATTCCATCTCCAACTAAGCAAGACAAAATTTCTGCCTTCAGGGTACAAATCGAACAGCAGGGCAAGGAGGAAACTCCTGTGTGCAAGCTGTATCACTTATGAGACACCTAAAACAAGAGGTAATAGGTACTTTTGGTGGCAAACTAGTCAAATTGCTGAGCAGCTGGCCTGCTCTACAGGAAAACATGCTCTCTTGTATGTAGAAGCCAGTCAGTCCCAGGGTTTCTTTCATGCCTGCTTACATGTGCTTCCACTAGGTGTTTTTTCTGCTTGGTAGGGGCATAACCTTGAAGTGATCTTTACAAGCAAAGAACTAAAAAATAAATAGATGTGCAGCACTAAAAGAAAATAAACATGACTCAGAAGTATGAGAAACACCTTCAAGCAATGGGGATGATGCCAACCCTTTCGATGCAAAAACGCTTCTTCCACAAAGCTTCCCATCTGGTATCTGTGTTGGGGCCAAAGCCAGTGGGTTGTAACATAGGTTTTGCAGGTAATCTGGGAGATGAAGTAGGCTCAAAGTGTGTAGTTTTCCAAATGCCATTGCTGGGGCCTCGGGCTCTCTGGATGAGAAAGCACTGCTGTGATCATCTTCCACAAATCAAGGGCTCTTACACAAAGGTGCACTCTTTACGTGTGGCTGTAGCACTGAAATGCGACCACTCCTGGGGTGTAAGTAGCTGCTGTTCTATCAGTGCACTTTACTACCTGGAGTCATTTTGGACAGATGGGTGGTCTGACAGACTTGGCTGCTGTATTGCATCTCCTACCCACACCCCTTGTTATTTTGAGCAATTAATTCCTCCTTAAATAATGCAGACAGAGCACTGGTGTCTATCAAACCTTATCAAAGCCCACAGAAAGGCTCTTGGTAGGATAAATGGACTTCAGTTTCCACATTCCAGTTCTGCCACATTCCCTCACCTACAGTCCATAAGTAAGCTGAAACCCCTTGGCACAGTTTGCATCTCCATTATGCAGGACTGGGAAGGACCAGGGTTGATTCTAAAATAAATTGAAAATCTTCATTGGTAAAAGGGTATTCTGCAGAAGAAGGTGGCACACAGTACTCTGATCTCCACTGAGTCACCCGTATTTCTGAAGTAGACATTTTGTTAAGTCCTAGAAGTTGTCACAGCATGACCTGTCCCTTACTACATGCTGGGGAGGGAAACTGATTTACTCAACAGTGCATCCTGTCTGCTTCGTTTCATGCTGCCAATGACTAGGTGTCTGTGGGCTGAGTATCTTCCATCTCAAGTGGCTATTTAAATTACTCTGAAAACATCACAAATGCTCTCTGGTCACAAACACAGAGGTTATCAGGTTGTTCCACCATGTGCTCCCTGGGAGATATTATCAGAGGCGTAGCAGTTGAAAGACAAAGTCGCTTTACAGAGGCAGGTGTGATGGCATAATGGAAAAAGCCTATTAAAAAAATGCACCTCCAAAGTTCAAGGAGGACTGAACAGAAGTGATCATTGGGCCTCTCCCTGCAACATGCACTCGCTCCTTCGTTTCCTCATTTGCTGGCATATGGAACGAGAGAAGAGCTGCCTTGCTGCTTCTGCTCACAGTCTGAAGCAAGTTTGGGTGTCAGATGGTGGCGAGTTTGCTGATTTTTTTATTTTCCTGTTTCAGTGCTAGGTTAGGCTCATGGCAAATAGCCTAGCACTTTACAAGCAACACTTAGACCTACATCACCAAGTCGTAACACGTTTTGGGCTTTTCAGTGTCAACAGGTGCCCCAGTCTCCCATAGCCACAACTCCTGCCCAGAGCCTCACGCATAAAACAATGCAGCACTGCCTCCCTCTTTCCAATTGGATAATATCTTGTCCATCCACGACTCTCCACATGGGAAGATACAAGAATATTTTACAAATGCCAAAACCCTGAAATTGTTTTTCGAGGAAGAATCTGCTATTACCCATGCACAGAAAGTTATGCTTGGCTAGTGATAGATGCAGGAACAGAGTCAGTGTCACATGTCAACTTTCTGTTCCAAAGCTATGCAATACATATTGGTCATTTCTTTGACAAATCCCAGTTGTGTTTCTTAGGCTCTACCTTCCTGTTTGCTACTAAAAGAGAGCCTGAAAAAAGCACCTTTGTATCCCAGAGGCATGACAGCCTCCATTCTGAAACATGCCAGAAACGGGTACACACCCTGAAATAATTTCACAAGGATTCATCCCTTTCTTGCTGAGCTGCAAAACCCTGCTACACACTGTACCTCTGTATTTGAAGAGTATACTGCCGATTCCTGCCAGCAGGCAAAGGGTTATCAAGTCTCCAAGGCATGCTGCTATGGGTGTGGCGATATTGTCTGGATTGATCCTAAATTTCCTTGCTCCGATGATAACGCCAATCATCACCAGACCTAGAGAAGACACAGAGTGAGCATCAGAGAATGTATCCTGCTGCGTTTCAGCTAAGAGCTGCTGCTCGGGTCCCCAGAGGGATGCAGGCTCTGGGAAAAGCAAGATGCAGATTGTCTGTAGCGGTACCACACAGCTGGAGATTGGATATCCCCAGGAATTTGTCCTCTTGCTTTCACCAACGTGAAGGGCATAACTCTGCCCTTTTGAACTGCACCAAAGGCCCAGAGGCACCCAGGCAAATTCCAGGGATCAAAGGAGAAACCAGCAGGCAGCCCAAATGCAGCTCCCCTCCTGAGCAGTCTAATCTTTGCTGCCTTGAAGCAGGACCAGGCACAAACACACTCACAGATAAGCACACAGCAGGCATGCAGCAGCCTCGTGGCGCCACTCCTTGCTCTGGATTCCACAGCACAAAGATATTTTCCATATTAGACCAAAAGTTCTCTGAGTTTGAACCACCAAGAAGCAACGAGCTTCCTTACAGTAGCCTGAATTAGCCTTTCGGTCCAGCCAGCAGACTAAGCCCTCATGTCCCAAAGTCTTTGGGGGTTGCTTTAATTTGTACGAGGTGGATGTAGATGCTGTGAGCAGCTACAGAGTAAGGGGTTATGGAGGTGGCCCAAATCACCTCTTTTCCCTGTCCTCTGAGCTGCGCCCGGCAAATTCAGCTGCTTTTCAGCATTGTAGAAGGCAAGTTTTGTTTGCACAGCTAAGTTCACAAGCACAAACCCCAGACCCTGATGAACGCGTGGGAATGTCTCAGCCATCAGATCTCTCACAGGCCTGTGGAAGAGCCACCTGGAATAAACCCTGCCTGGCTAGTCTCCACTGCTGTGTGACTAGCAAGGGCAGCCTTGAGACAAGACACGTGACATCTGTTCAAACTCATTCCGTAGCTGACAGGATGCACCAAAGGAAGCCTGAGAAATGGTCGTTGCCTTCAGCTCACAACCTCTCTGTGCCTGTTTGCGCAGGCCCATCAAAGCTGAGCGTGCACAAGAGCATCGTCTCTCCTCTAAGAAATGCCACGTGTGCAACTTCCCTGATACAACATCCCTTAATACAGAAACACATCCTCGCACAACACGACATTCTCCACAAAAGCCCTCGCAGACACCCATGCTCTCGTCTCCACAGCACAGCTCATGCTGCTTCCCTCCCTGGTCACAAAAACAGCAGCTTCCCTCTGTGCCCACCCACACACAGGCCCTCTGTGACCACATCCAGGGAAGAAACTACTGCTAGCTGAAAGTCTGCAATGGTAAAGCTGCAAAGCCTCGCTGCATCACACCAAGCAGGGAGATTGAAGGGAAGAGCTTAATGAAAGCTGGGTTGCTGTTTTTCTCTTTTAACAACTGCCTCATCCCATGTTTTTCATCAAAGGCATCTACAATCACCCTTTGACTCCAGCCTCAGGGTATGCACTTGCTCTAAACTTGTCCCTTTCCTTTAGAAAACTTGCTGTGTCCAGCTCTGGCAGCTCCCACCATTCAGGGTGTCATGCTGCCCTCGTATGGCAGACCTACAAACTGATCATCTTGAGGACACGGAGCAGCTCCTGCCTGTCCATCCCATCGCACTTTCCTTACGCGGGGAATAGCCAGGGGAGTGGGCTGCTTGGCTCAGAGCCCACAGCTGGCACAGCTGGCCACAATCCTCCGCAGGGTACTGGGTGACTCCACATCGAGTGTGGTCTGCAGTTGTCTACCAACAGGCTCTCAATATCCTGCTTAGGCCACTGCCTCAAGTCATTCTTCCCTAGAAAACGTAGACACCTAATGTCTGTGTGTGTACATCCACAGGTAGCACATGGCATTTTTTTGCACATCAGGTGAAGTGGGGCATTTTGATTGCTGCTCTGGATGCTGAGAGTCAGGCAAACAACAGCTCCTGGGAGAAGAGAAGCAAAGACAGGATACGGAGGGGATGAAAGCAAGACACAGGACTAATGGTCCCGCCATCCCTTCTCCCTGTGCCAGACCAAAGGAGTGTCAGCTGGGCCTCCCCAGCAGAAGGGACAGGTTTTTTTCTGTGGCTGAGCGCTGCATATTTGATCTGAGGAGTCAAAACAACTCACCAAGACAAAATGCAGCTATGAAGGCCGTGGTCACACTGCTGGCACACAGCAAGAGAGCCTCGCGTGGGTCCACAGAGCTCTTGGATATGCCTCCCAGGGCCAGAGCAAGAAGAGCAGCCAGAAATCCCATCACAGTGGCCTGGACCTGGGGGCCAAAAGACAGCTGGTGAGCAATCATCTGCATCCAGTCCCAGGCAGCCCTGGCTCCGTGCTTCCGTGGCATTTCCACACAGCTAAGCCTTGCAGAGATGCTGACTGCTTATTCATTTAAGCAGCATCCCTGTAAGGCTCCACTATGTTAAAAAAAAAATAAAAATCCTCACAAAGTTTGGAGAAAAATTCTGGAGGCCTGCAAAGGGCAGATAACATTTCTACAAAGGACACTGAGTCCATCAGCAAAGGAATAGACCTGGTCAACACAAAAATGGGCTCCCCATCAACACAGCACTCCTAGCAAGCCGAAAGCTGTAGCAGGAGATAAGGGAAAGCACACAGACACATGTTGCAAGCCCTGTGGCCTTGCCATATGCAACCTCTAGGCTGGTTGCTGGATTTTAACAAGCAGAAAGAGCTCCAAGAGTCACATTTCTCCCATCTCTCCCCTCCTGCCCAAGGCTGATCCCAAACATTGCCAGTAAACGACAGGCTTTATCTATCAGCTATTGTGAAACAGGGATTGTGTCGCAGTTCCCCCTACAAAAAGAGTTTTTTTCATTATTTCAGTCTGCCCACAAAGGCAAGGAATGTCTAGATGTGTTTTTCAGCTAAACTACAAGTTCTGGGGCCACATAGAGCTTTATTAGAGGACAAGTTCTGGCTCTGCTTAGCTCTGTTGAGAATACCTGCCCCAAATCAACAACTCAGGATTCAGCATTGTTGGGAACAGATGCTTTAGGGCTGCAGCACAGCAAGAGAAAAGGGCCTTTTCCCTTTCCCCGTTGAAGTGACTCACCTGGATAAGGGCTAAATTGCAGGTGGCCATTTTCCATTTCTTCTGGGCATCATCCATCTGTCCAGTGTTAGCCTAGGAGCCAAAAGAGAGGTGGAGAGGCATAGCAGAGCACCACCTAAAGGTGGAGTGGGTGCATCCACCATGCCCTGCACAGACCAAAAGCTGAACAAATTAAACCATTTTTCTTCTTTTGTTGCTCTGTTAAGCTCTGATTTATCCTGAGACATGCAATACAAAACGAAACTGCATAGGGAGACAGGAAAAATCAAATCCAGAGTAGCAAAAGCTGCTTCAGGTCCCAAGAAGCCTTGGTCTGCATCCCATAGGGTAGGATTGCTGGGAAGCCCAGATCAAGGATCAATATCCACAGAAAAACAATCCAATACTGAAGCTGACAGCTGTGGAGCTCTGGGTTTGTCTCCTTCATGTGTCACAGGGCCCCAAATATGAGCAACTGGCCACCCAGGGATTAATTCACCTTCACAGTGCAGATGGAGATTCTCTGTTCCAGTTAGAAAAGGAGGGCAAGCACATTATTTTAACACTCACACACCACTAGTTTCTTCTTAGCAGAAAAGAGCATGTCTCATACACACAGTGTGGTTAGATAAAAGCAGAATCTCCTGATGCCTCCTGTTAATCCCCTCCCTCCCCCACACACCCCATCACCACCTTGTTAACACTCACAGCAGTAGAGAGCCTGGATGCCAGCGTCATCTCAAGATTACCCTTCAAACCAACCAAGGCAGGAACCAGGATGAAAAATTCTGTAATTGTCTGAAACACGTCCCAGTGCTGAAAGAAAACAAAGCCAACAACATCAGTTTGTGATGCTTACCAGTGGACTGGTTGCTTCAAAGAGGAGCTGTTGCTTCAAAGAGGAGCAGGTTCCCACCTCACCACTGGCTCTACAGATGTCTGCTGTGCACAAGGGGGCAGTTGCTGCCCAGGGCCGGTTGCATTTTGGGCGTGAACTTAGCAATTTTCAGCTTGCAATACTCTTTTTGATCTCACACACAGCAAAGCACTATCCGAATAGGGATAGTGCCCTCTCCTGAGGGCAGGAGAAGATTTTGGAAGGCCACAAACTGAAGTGTGCCTTTAGCATTAGCCAAGAACAACATGACAAGTAACTAGAATTCATAAGCCAAATGACATACAGCATGCACTCCATCCTTTGTACTGACACTAGATACAGGAACGCCTACTGCTATCCAGACTCATAAGAATAAACACACAGATCTGGAAACAATCCAACAACAAAAGCCATGTCTGTATATTTTTTACCAAGCTTCTAACTAAGCATCTAAGACTGGTGGTGGGAGGGAAGGAGATTTTTGATTCTCTTCTCCACAGGCAGTTCCTAAATCTTGCTGTTACCAAGTATGCTCCCAGCATAGCTGGAAAAAGCATTTTGAATTAAGCTATCTCATAAGCCCTCACTGCTGGGCCAATATCTCAATTGTCATTGCTCCTCTGAAGCTGAACTGTACAAAGCCATACAATCAACTGCAATACTAGAAATTATCTAAAACCTCAAGGAACTTTGTTGATGAACACATCTTCTCCAATTTATCTACCATACAGTGCCTTGGAACATCATTCATTCACCCTCTGTGCACTCAAGGACGTTGGCAAAGTCCCACTGTAGCCAGAGAGGCTCACGTCAAGATGAAATCACAAAACGGAGCAGCTCACTGTCAAATAAAACCAACTAGCCCAATGTCTAAGAGCAGAATAGAAGAAACAAAGAGCAGCTGCCATGAGTCAGACCAAAGGTCCATCTAACTTAGCCTCATCCCCACCAGCAGTCAAATTCAGATGTATGAGAACCTACAAGTATGACTAAACAGGGTAATTCTCCCATGTACTTTTCAGCCTACAACTATCTGTCACAGGGTACAGAGCTGGTGGCATTTTTCTGCATGCTAATCCACGCCCAAAGGATTTCTTTCAGGTACCATCCCACGTCCCCGATCCAACACGTGCCATCCTGCGTCAGAAACGTCTATAGGTCAGTTACACGTCATGTGAAGGACCACTTGTCCATTTTAATTCTAAGTTGTCACTGACTAGTATCATATGAGAGGCCAAAATTGGGGCACTAGAGGACAAAATGAACAACAGATCCCTGCCCACCTTCTCCACATCCACTGGGATTCTATACACCCGAAAATCCAGGAGGTTGAGCAGACTCGGTAAATGTCAACATATTCAGCTATCAGCCTGTCGGGAAATACAGACAGGGTGTAACGGCACGGTGTTTTGCTCTGGCTGTGCCCTGGGAAGCTGTGGGAAGCCGGTGGCATGGCTGTCTGCTGGGAAGATGCCAGAGCTTCCTTCTGAGTTAGGATGAACAGAGGTTGGGCTGAGCCAGGCCTGAGCACGTGGTGCAAGACACCACTCAGAGGTACAGATAACAGGCAAAACATTATTATCAATATAAAAAGGCACATTTCCTGGCAGTGGTGACCTGGAAACAGGCGTGTTTCAAAATGTAAATAACTGTAAATAACAGTCAACGTGAGAATAGTCACCTTATTTGACACACTACAATTTTGTTTGAATCTATTAACGTGGAACTTAAATACATGAGCAAACCTAGGACCAGACATCTCTTTCAAAGATCCAAATCCTCCCCTTTCTTTTCTCTTTGATTAAGAATAAAGATCCAAACACATATTTGCCACCTTCAAAAGAGAGAAAAGACTTCAAAATCACAGCATAAAAAAGCCCCTATAACTTAAAATACAGACATTCATATTTAAGATCTTGCATATTTTTCACATAAAAAGACATATAAATAAAAAGCAACATAAAAAACTCAACTGTCTGCATTTTCTTTGCATGTCACCTTTGGGAAATATGACTTTGTTAAATCAATGTAAGCTCTAATCCTCGAGTTCATGAAGGATTTTGCAGATCTCAAGTCATTTTAAGAGAAGCTTCAGCATAAGAGGCAGGATTTTTTTGGGACTCTGCCTTACACATAATTACATTGAAAAGCTTTGACCAATTATCAAAGAATCATGCAAGTGTACTAATAAAAACAGCTGACTTAATTGCCTCCATTTGAAGTCTCATTAGTGACTCACCAAGAGCCTAAGGACAGATTCATAATGATCTATACCACAGTGGCCAGGACTCCATTCTGTTGGATTGCAGAAATACAGAATAAGCAGATGATCTCTGTGCCATTGCCTGGCAGGACTGTCAGCTGGAGGAGCAGGTGAGTGTGGCAGGTTAGAGCTGTTCAGGCAAGGGCCTGCCTGAATGAATACCGCTGCATTAAGTCTAGAAGGAGCAGTATTGCGAACCCACACAGGGACACCGAGCCAGGAAGAGACTCCTTCCCACTTCACATCTTGGCCCTAAAGCTCAGCTCTGAAGAAACTTGGTTACCAGTGCAGCTGGTCTCAACGCCAGCTCAAGGGGTCCCACAGAGGAAGAGTGGCCGTGATATACTGAGACAGTCTCTCCAGCTGCACTCCAGCCCTGCTGCCCCTCCTTACACCGTCCTCACAGATCCAACCATGTCCTGTTATGTCTCTGGGCCATCTCTCCTCCCACGGAAGCAGCTAAGAAACCTCAGAGGTTTTCCACTGCCCTGAACAAGTCAAAAGAAAGATCAGAAGATAAAATGCAAGCCAATTCAAAAACCTTTTCAATGCTAACTATCTCACAGGCTCTCATCAAAAAGAAGCAGGAACATCTTACATCTATGACTTTTATTTGGAGCATGTCCACTGCAGTGCTGTGGAAGGAGAGAATGCAAAGGAAGCTTTACTTCTGAATTCTCTGGTTTGAAATCTGATTATCCAGCTTCAACCTGATTCTTCACCTTACTGTAAAAGATGGCAGGATCCTGCAAGGTCTCCAGCAACACCAGTCAGCCCAAATATCAACCAGCTGGCCAAGGATCACTGGAGCAGAGGCGGAAATGACCAGCAAGAAAAGATCTGTGCCATGGTATCCTGCACAGGGACTGCATGGTCTGCACAACCAAGAAGAGAAAATGGCAAATGGCTATTTCTTTGAGCGTCCTTTTATTACAGACACTCAGAGAATTGGAGTCAACTGAGCCACACAAATCTCTCCTGGTGATTTTTTTTTTTTTTTAAACAGAAACGTGAACAGTTCTTGGCTTCACCCCAGGACAAATGAGAAACTTCTAAAATCCTGAAAAGTTTGATAGGAGAGAAACAAGCAATTTCTGCTTTGTCCTCTTCTTTACAAAAACATCAGCTCTGCAAATGAGAGAGCCAGCTGGACTCTCAGCACAGAACCACATTATTTAAAAATATTATGTGGGTAACAAAACAAGGGCAGCACCATTAAACTCACACGTACGCTCTAGATACCAGCCTTGAGCTTGCCCATACATCTCCCTGCCACAGGCATAGAGTTTCTTAACCATGTTTTGCAGTGACTGTAAGTAGGGCAAAGCATTCCTCAGATCATCCCCTGAAAAATGGACATATCACAGACTTCCGGACTAGAAAATGATGTAGTTTCAGTAGTGTGAGCTCTCATGATTACCAATATGAGTCTTATGGTACCTGGCCTCAAGCAAACAAACTTAGTCTCAGCTTTTAGTTGGACAGGACAATGGGTTTCTAGCTCTCACACTTGCAGGAAGAAAAGCTGAAAATAAGCAGATCAAAGGCATAGAAGAATAATTCAAACCTTTAAAGGCTAAGATCACTGGATTTTCCCAGCTACTGGTTTTGGTTTTAGACATGGGGTTGTTGATACATAGCAGCTTACCTCACTAACATCTCTTCTATGCACTAGCTCCATCCTCTGGGAGCTGAATCCACTGACTGATGGCTTCTATTTCAACACAGTTAGAAGCACCTTCACCAAAAAACACACTTCGTATTACTGTGTTTCATGCATGATCCCATTTTAAAAAAGTCTAGTGAACAGAGCTCAGAGAGTCGCGGTCAGTGGGCCAGTCTAGTTGGAGCCTGTGGCTAGTGGTGTCCCGCCAGAGGTTGCTACTGAGTCCAATCCTACCCAATATATTCATCAAGGACCTGAATAAAGAGACAGTGTACCTTCAGCAAGTTTGTTGATGATACAAAACTGGGCAGTGTGGCCAGCACGCCAGAAGGCTGTGCTACCATCCAGGGTGACCCAGACAGGCTGGAGAGCTGGCCGGGGAGAAACCTCATGAAATTCAATAAGGACAAGTGTTGAGTACTGCATCTAGGGAAGAACAACCTCATGCATCAACACAGGTTGGGGGCTGACCTGTTGGAGAGCAGCTCTGGGGAAAACGACATGTGAGTCCTGGTGGACAACAGGCTGACCATGAGCCAGCCTGTCTCTTCACATGTCTCTTCACCATGTCTCTTCACAGCCAAGAAGGCCAATGGCATCCTGGGATGCATTAAGAGGAGTGTGGCCAGCAGGTCGAGGGAGGTTCTTGCCCCCCTCTACTCTGTGATGGTGAGACCTCACCTGGAGTACTGTGTCCAGTTCCAGGCTCCACAGTTCTACTGGAGCAGTGCAGAGCCACTAAAATGATGAGGGGCCTGGAGCATCTATCGTATGACGAAAGGCTGAGAGAGCTGGGTCTCTTTAGCTTGGAGAATCATAGAATTGTATCAGCTGGAAGAAACCTAGAAGATCATCGGGTCCAGCCTTTTTCCTAGCCCTATCAACCTACTAAACAATTCCCCCCAATACAACATCCACCCGTCTCTTAAACACCTCCAAGGATGGTGACTCAACCACCTCCCTGGGCAGAAGAGGAGGCTGAGGGGGGAATCTCATCAATGCTTATAAATATCTAAAGGGTGGGTATCAGGAGGATGAGGCCAGACTTTTGTCAGTGGTATCCAGTGACAGGACAAGGGAAAATGGTCACCAACTGAAAAATGGGAGGTTCCATGGAAACGTAAGGAAAAACTTTTTCAATGTGAGGGTGATGGAGCACTGGCACAGGCTGCCCAAAGATGTTGTGGAGTCTCCTTCTCTGGAGACATTCAAAACTTGACTGGACGCGTTCCTGTGTGACCTACTCCAGGGAATGCTGCTCTAGCAGGAAGGCTGGACTAGATCATCTTCACAGGTCCCTTCCAACCCCAAGCATTCTGTGAAACACACAAAATGTCGACTGCACTCTGGTATTGAAAGGGCATGTGCAACACATATATATACATTGCTTACGTTTTCCATTAGTTTGGACACACATTTCTGAACAGACTCCAGTTCTTAGCAAGCACACTGAATTTCTTTTAAACAAAAACCTACTCACCTGTCAAGGGTCTGGAGTGGGTAGGTACTATGTCTTTATCCTCCTCTGGGATAAGTGCTAACTATTATAACATCTTGGGTAGTTTAAGAACTTCTGTAATGCTGCAAGACAGGTCTGTGCCTAAGCACAGCACAAGGTGGAGACAACAAACACAGCACAGCAACAGTGTGTGTCGCTCCAGTTAACCCTTCTTCGATAGTCCTCATATTCCCTTTAATTCAACTTCTCTGCCACCTTTGTTTTTTTCCAAGGCAAGAAAAAACAGCACAGTATTGTCTTTCCAAACACTCAAGTATCCATATTTAGCTCCTGCTGTGGTAACTAATGCCAGAGAAGCCAATGTACTGCGGTGAGCTCAGTGCAGGATATATGCTTGGGAAACTCTGCCAGCCTTTTGATTTGTAAATCCACTGGCATGAGATGCCCAAACTAGATCAAATATTGCATTTCTATTTGTGCCACTGGCAGAAAGGAAAGATAGATTTGATAGATCCTGGTCGTGGGCACAACAGTGTAAATTCAGCAGCACTCTTTGGAAATCAATGGAAGTTACTCTAAATTTACACCCACGTCAGATTCTAGCCAAGAAGCACTCGGTTGTAGGCAATGCTAATGTTTCTATGCTGGCATGCCTCTCATCACAGTATCTAAATGCCTTCTAGACCAAAGATTACATTAGGTTGTTTGCAAAGAACTGAAAGCGTAAACTTGCCTCTAAGTGAGGCAGGTAGTTAATAACAACCCTGACCTATATCTCCTTATCAGCAAGTTTTGCAGGAAAGGAATAGTATCATGCAAGAGGGGAATACGCTGCATACTGATCCCAGTTGCTTCACAGCAGTCATCACTGAAGCATTTAGCTAGATACAGTGAAGAAAGCACCCCGTCTAACGCACCAAGGGCAGTGTCAGGCAGCCTGTCAGAAAGCCATGATCCCACTTTACAAGGACACCATGTATTCACCTAAAGAAGACAGACAGCATCTCTCTAGCTGTCCATCTAGGGCCACACACATTAAAAATGAAAATGCACAAACACTCAAGTCAGTGCATTAGCCCACCCTCTTGTTATAAAGTTGCCTAACCACATGTACCTACCTGAACAACATCCATCACTAGGCCAGCAGCCGCCATGCCCAAGCCAGCCAGAAGGAGTGGCACAAAAACATGGAAGGCAATGGCCCACGAAGTCTCTGGAATAAATCCACTTTCTGACCTGGTAAACTTGCATTTGAAACCTCTGAGTTTCTTGCCATAGAAGCACAGGTCAAATTCTAACTGGGTGAACACCATAGTTAAACACTGCTACCCCACGCTCAGAGAGGCAAAGGCGGGGAGATCAGGGTATCATACAGATCCTCCTCATAGCTCTCTTCAAAGTCAAAAGAAATGTTTTTCTTCAAACTACAGCAATGATGTCAAGTTGCTTTGGCTTCTCCATCTAGGCGCATGTGCAGAGGGTTGCAGCAAGGGTATCCAGGGTATCCTCCAAAATTCATCCAGTTGGAGTGAGTCCAGGTGGCAGCAAGCTTGATGGGTGGTGTTTCTCTGATTTATATCCAGAGGGGAATTAAAAAAGAGAAAATAAGATTGCGGATATGTCTGTGGATGAATAGAAATGAGCCCACACCCCATTCAAGCTCCCACCACCTCAGTAAAAACCAGTAAGACCTGCTCAGGCTACAGCACTGAAAGAGTGACAGGTCATGCAAGAATCCCTCAGCGTGCTCAAACGAACTAGCGTCCTTTCTCCTCAGGTTACATTTCTTGTCAGACTGCGGCTCGCCTTTGATACGATAGTTTAATATGTAAGCCTGCTGTGAACCAGCCCTAGTTCCCTCACTCTCACCATAAGCAACGTTGAACTTTTCTTACTGTCCCAAGGCGGAGGAGGTGGGGAGTTAACAACCAGGTTCCGTTTTGTTCTCCTTCAAGGTGAAGAAAGGTCAAGCAAAACATGAGTCCACTTTTCTCACAGCTGACGGTGTTACGCAGGTCTCATCCTGAGGCAAGTGACACAGCTAAGCCAGCTGGTGAGAGAAGATCTAGACCTCTGGTCCTCTCCATGGTCTCCACAGGACTTAACGACTGGTCTACGATAGCTATACCTTTGAATGACTGGCTTTCAGTGGAAAAAAAATAAATAAATCCACAGAACCAGCCAATAAGCTTCAAAAGCGAACACCCTTATCTGCTGTCATCACTTCAACTTTCTGCTAGTTTGCAAAGGCCAAGATAAGAGTCATAGCCCATGCTTATTTAAGGTAGCTCCGTAATCGTGCTGCACCACAGGCAAGAGAGTGAAAGGGTGAATGTTTCCGTGGCATGTTGTGAGCTGATCTCTCTTCCTGTTCCACAGTGAAACACGTCGCTTTTGTGTACTCCCAGGAAGATACTGTCTGTGAGAGAGGGGGGTCTCAGCCCAGAGTCTCCATGGGCCAAGAGCTGACACAAGATCAAGAACAAGAGCCGTATCGTAGCCACATACAGCCAAAAAATGTGTATCCTGCTCAGTGAAGACTTCTGCTCAAATTCACGCATGCGGGGAAGGAAGTCAGAGTATTCTACTTGGGTTCCTTTCTAATAATTAATTTGAGCAAGCTAACTGTGTTAGAGAGTCAGAAAACACAGTTTTTAGGACTGGTTTAGTACATTGGCAACTGAGTTTTTCACAATCTAACTATAGGTTCAAATCCAGCCAGGCCCCAGTGAAGGCAAAAAAGCGAAAGCAAGTTATCAGTGGTAAATACAAAAGATACAGGCTTCTGGATCCATTTCAAATTGAACATTTAAATTGCATTGCCTTACACAGAGTTTCTGTACTAATCAACCTCTTCTCTGACACTGTCTGCAGAAAGACATAGAGATTAATGACTTATGGACTCTGGCCCTATGACAGGGGCCCCAGCTTGAAGCTAAATGCATTGGCAGGGTTGGACAGAACAAGACATGTTTTTGCCTTGCAAGCAAATAGCGAAGTGAGGAAGCACTCAGGCATTTGGACAACACGTTTGATTTGGTCAAAAAACACAAAGACGACCTGGCCGAGATGGCACAGCAGATCTTCCTGCAAGCATGGCATGGTGGAAAACAAGCCCTAGCTAGAGGCAGGAGACTCTGTCCTTTGCTGCTTTCCAGGTTGGTATTTCAGCACATCCCCCAAAGCCTTCCCCACTCCCAGCTGGGAGTGGAACTTGCCATGCATGTGTGTCTCCTCCACCTAACAATGGTCTGGTTAGCTGAAAGCTAACAAAAGAGTATATTTCTGCTAATCCAAGCAGGGAAAAAAGGTGACAATAGCTGGAAGAGAGGGGTTAACAAAAACTGTAATAACCACACATGACCCAATCTCTTTATACCAGCCCGGAACTGAGAAGTGACAGCACAAAGGCCTGGTTCTGGTTAGAAACTCACAGAGGCTTCAAGGAAATAAAGAACAGCTTCTGGACAACTATCGCAGGTTCTCAAAGGTCTGAAAATGTGCATACCTAGTTCCATAGGCCACTATATCTGCCAAGTAGATTGCTGACAGGCAGAAATGTTAATATAAAGCAAATATTAATGAGCCTGGATGACTCAAATACCATTAAAAACACAGTAGCAACACATCCTGCACTAAAGCATCAGCCTGGCAGGGTTTATGAGTTCATCACGCTTTGCCTCTGTTTCTAAGCAAGCACCATAAAAAGCCGTCAGCCGATGAATCAGTATGCAGAGAAGGTAATTGGAGGTAAACTGCTGCCCTTCTCTGCACACAAACACACTGCATCCCTGTGCCTGCAAACTAACCAATAGGGAAGCATTGCCCTGAAGGAGTCAAAGCAGAAACAGCCTTGCCCCTGAGCTAAGGTCTCCATCCACTGCCACAGCACAACAACAGAACAGAAAGATGACAAGCACTAAAGAGCACAGCTTCAAACGTACCTCACCATCGCTGCAAAGAAGGGCCTGGGATACCAGTGAGTTCTCCCACAACATGGCAGCCTTAGCAACAGACGGTGCTATTGTGACTTCTTAGACTCATAGAAGGATGATGCTTTCCACAGAATCACAACACGTCAGGGGTTGGAAGGGACCTCAGCAGATCATTTAGTCCAACCCCCCCCGCCAAAGCATGATCACCTAGAAAAGGTCACACAGGAACATGTCCAGGCAAGTTTTAAAAGTCTCCAGAGAAGGAGACTCCACAACCTCTCTGGGCAGCCTGTGCCAGGGCTCTGTCACCCTCACAGTGAAAAAGTTTTTCCTTCTGTTTACGTGGAACCTCTTGTGCTCCAGCTTGCATGAGTTGCCCTTTGTCTACGTTGCAGCCCTTGGAGCACTACCACTCCTGATTCTGCTAGTTCTCTGTCAGACCATGTTGCGTGGTTTTGCTTCTTATCTTGCTCCTCTCCTCTGCACTTTAGGAAAGGGCAGAGAGGAGAGTTCATGGGGAGAGACTGATAGCAAGCAGATGGAGAGCGCTTGGGTCCCAAAGCCTTGCAGTATCTCCTGCTCTCCCACAGAAGTAGCAGCAGGGGCAGAGGCAGAGGCCAGGACTAGCTTAGAAAGTAAGGGTAGTTCCTAGCAGCAGTGACTCCATGATGAGACGTGCTCAGGTAGTCCATAACTACGCACAAGAAGTCACCGTGCCAACTGCTAAAGGCCTGCTTTTCCTGTGAGACATTGCATGGGTTAGTTTCCCAGGCTCTAAGCACTAACACAAAAACTTTTGCATTTACAGATGAGCATGAATTTCACATTCTGTTTATATCAGTGGCTCAACCCTTCCTAGAAAAAAAACAAACAACTTCTAAGAGAAGAATGTTGATAGAACAATCCTCCAACATCATAAATCTACCTGCAACCTATTTCACACTTCAGTATCTCACAACAGGAGGCAACATGCATTTAATGTCAGAGATACATAGAAACGGGCTGGTCTGAACAGTCTGAAAAATAAAAATCCAAGTGCCTGCTCAAGGCTCAAGACCTCAGAATGACATCTGAGGAGACAAAAAGTAATTTGCCACTGGGTTCCGGATTTCCCTTGGTGTTTTCTGATCTGACTAAATATTCTGCTGGTTATTGAGAACATACTAAGGTCAGTTAAGGATACTGTGTCGCTCTTAAGCCTTTATAGCTCTTCTACTTTAAGGAGATCAGCCCTGGTCTAATAGCAAAAGAACACAGCTCCAGATTTGTGAAAGTTGTCAATGTAAGCACAGTAGTTTCAGTATCACTATCAGATAGGTCAGGGCAGTCTGACCCAACAGCTAGCTCGTCAAATAACAAGGTTTACCAAAAAGACAAGCAGCAGTGAGAGTCACCTGGAGGGCAAAGCCAGAGCAATTTATAACCTGAAAATCAACTGCAGCTTTAAACTGTCTAAAATTTGGTGCTCTGCACTACCTTAAAGCTCAGTGCTGCAGCACCATAGGAGAAAACATCTGGTCTTGATGGTCACAGACTCAGAAATCAGACTGGAAGAAGACTCAAGGATTTGAGGACCCTGCTACAATGTCTTAGAAGAGGATGCGGTGCACAGGCTGGGTTGGTTGTACAAAGCGTTAACAGTGGGCTGGCTGGCTCCTCGCGTGATGAAGCAGGGATGTTAGACTATCCAGAGCTACACTCAGGAGTGGTACAACTGTACCTACTGCAGGAAAGTACTGTGTCACCACAACCCTTGGGGCTGGAGCTCAGCCACCCTCTTCCCAGGACCAAGGTAAGATCTTTGCACAGGACTGCACCTTCCTATATAGATGCCTCGGACCCTTTGTGTGCTCTTTAGCACCATGTTGTATTTTATCTCCAGAGGAGAAAACGAGTGAGAAAAACACCACACACCATCTCCTGAGAGCTGCACCAAAGTACATAATAGCTGACTTTGAAGGACAGATTAACATGGACTGCTCCAAATCCTCCTTCGCTTTGTCACTCCCAGAGGAAAGACCGTGCCTCTGAAGAAAAGTCTCCCACCTATCCCATGCCAGGTGTATCATATTAGTTTTTTTGCCTTACCTGAATACAATCCAAAACCATGCCTGCCATGACCATTCCAAGCCCAGCTAGGAGGTATGGCAGGAGCACTTGCAGGCAAATTGAGATGGCTGACTCTTCTAGTGACTTTGCCATAGCTGCTTTCTCCTCAGCCAACAGCTTCTGCTGTGCATGCAGAGAGACATCCTCTGCCTCCTGGCTGCCAAGTCGGCTCTCTCTGTGTTTACCTTTGCCTTTTGCTTTGTGCCTGGATCGCTCTCCATTCCTAGACCTGCCCTCTTTTCTCCTCTGCCGAACTTCCTCACCTTTCA